ATAAGATAGTGTACTAATTACATTATTACTTACAGAATATCTTAACGTAGCTTATACATCGAGGAACAAATAAGTCCAATCTGACATAACAAAGAAACAGAGCAACGCCTGGTGTCGTCGGAGCGGCGCGGAGCCACCAGTCAGAACAAGAAAGTACGAATTCTAAATGTTCACAGTAAAATCGCTGATTACACGCCCCGGCTACGGAGCCCGCGCCCCCGAGCTTGCAAAACACGGATTCCATTCGAATTTTATTATTACGCCCCGAAAGACCCAAATGAATGAATGTGGCCAATATCTGGATTATTGCTAACGCTCGCCGTACTAATATTATAAATGTAAAATATCTCTCCGTCTGTTTGTAGGTAGGGTTTCCAACCATACTTTATAATAACGTATAGTAATTATACTTTTAAATACAAATAATGTATCCAAAAATACTTTATTTCCAAACTTTACTGTGATGCGTAAAACAGAATACTCTTTGTGGGTAGTTAACGATTTATAATTACTGAACGAAATGTTTTATAATAATAATAATAATAATCTCAGGACAATTCACACAGCGCCATCTAGAAGTTAGCGAAAGCATGTGTTATGGGTACTAGATAACTGATACATATACATAGATTTTTTTTGTAAATACATACATATTATACATAGAAAACACCCAGACCGAGACAAACAGTCATACTCATGAATATAAATGTTTGTGCCGTGCGAGGAATCGAACCCGCGACCATCGGTCGTAAAGCGGTATGCTAAACCGCTAGACCATCGAGGTCGTCAAATGAAATGTTTATAACGGACAATGGAAACGATTTATAATTATTGAACACAATGTTAGATGTCAATTATGAGTTGTGAGATTTGTCACAGCTCTAGTGTTGAAAGCACCCAAAAATAAAAACTACTTTTTTTCAGCTCAGGGGTGGTCATTACCCCATTATTGTGCACCCCATTGTGTTTTATTATCTAATGTGATTCCTAGAAAGACAGTAGATTCTATAAATTCGAGAGATTCGTCATTTAATTTTATCTTGCAATTAGTATTAAAACTTTTAGACAGAGAAAAGTTAACACATTTTGTTTTTTAGCGTTTAACATAAGATTGTTAGTTGTAAACCAGAGTAAGAGACGCCGCAAATACTGCAATGATATAGGAATGGTGCACCTATCTGCGCTAACGGTTTACGCTGGCGGGGCGCCAGTAAGGGATAATAAGATGAACATGAGGTCAGGTCAGCTAGCCCATTGTGACAAATTTACTAGAAATTTATCATGATAGATAGATAGTTTCCGAGCGGAACTATTTGGAGGTCAACAACGCAACAACATCATGGTACAAGACCAGCAATGGAGATAACAGTCAACAATACTAAATGATAACAATAGCCCTACCGTAAGTTTTGAAGAGTGCTGGTGAAGCTGTAAAGAGGCCATCTTTTATCTATACATCTATACATATAAATAAAATTGGAGTGTCTTTTTATAATGTTTGAAATAACCGTTTTTACTACATGCATATGAATATAAATACGGTATATACACCACATTTTTTAAAATTTTTGTCTCTCTGTCTGTCTGTTCCGCCTAATCTCTGAAATGGCTGGACCGATTTTGACGGGACTTTTTTTAGCAGATAGCTTATGTAATAATAAGTAACTTAGGCTACTTTTATTTTAGAAAAATAAAGTTAAATTCCACGCGGGTGCAGATAGTATATAATAATAATCCGGACGCAGACAAACTCACAGGTCACAGAACTGACATACATAAAAAATTACAATAAAGGAAATGAACCATATGAATAATATTTTTAGGAATCATTTAGAAAACTATAAATGTATTAAACACCATACTAAATTTTTTTTTTTTATAAAGTATTTTACGGCCCTGGAAATCTCCTTTCAGCCAAACAATTACATTCTACAAATACAAATTAAATTATTATTGAGTTAAGTGTTACCGTTTTATATTATTAAATTACCAATTCTTGGTATGGACCTTGGTTCTCTTCCTCGGCTGCATAGCATCAAGATTAGATTCATTAAAACGCTTTTGTGAGCTAAACTGAATTGAAAAGACGCCGTCTCAAAGGGACTAACTACTACAAACGTCACAATCAAGTGAAGGCAGAGCGAGGCTCAGACGCCATTGTGGCAAATATTATTGTGATTTACCTATTTAATTAGAACTAGGGTACCCTAGAGTTGCCAACACAGTTCCCAGGACATGTCCTAGTTTTTGTACCGTCCTGGGGTATCCTGGATAGTTTTTAAGCGCCCTGATAATTATATTGTCAAAATTCGCGCGCCATTTTTACAAATCCTGTTCGAATTGTAGTTTTTTTTTTTATTCTTTTAAGTATTAAAGACTCAATATTACCATTACCTAAATTTTATTAATTTATCCTATTGACATTATATAATAATATAATTATAACAAGTATATTACTGAGTCCTGGTTTTAAACTAAATTGTCCTGGATTTCCAACTTCAAATCCTAGGGGGGAAGGGGATTGTGGTCGACCTAACATGGTACATTGCTAGAAATGCGGACATGAGTCCACATTACTAGCAATGTACCATGTTAGGTCGACCTCCACGCGGTTCCCCCTGGAAATATTATATGGATATCCCCCTGGATAAATTTCTGGTGAATTTGTCACGATGGGCTAACTGACCTGACCTCATATTCATCTTATCATCCTTCACTGGTGCCCCACCAGAGTAAACCGTTAGCGCAGGCGAGTGCACCATCCCATTATCATCCTCTAAAAAAAAGTTTAGTCTAGTTTTTTTAAATTGGTGTTAGCAACCCTATACTACCTTGAACGTCCTTTCAAGGAAATAAGGGAAACGGTAGATTGTTCTTATCATAATTATCTACGTTTATTTAAAACGTAAAAGAGGGAAGATAATGTAGTGTTTTATCCTTTCATAATTGTACCTAGTCAAATGTTTTAATTATACTGCCACACACCATAATGAAATAAAAATTAAAGCCTAGAAAATAGCTATCCACTTTGTTCTAGTCGTAATGGAAAAATCTGAAAATGGAGATCTTTTTATTTAGCGAGCTCTAGATTTTCCATTTTCCTGTCTAAAACAAAGGTCATACCAAAGCTCCGGCGCCACCGCGCCGCCGTGCCGTCTCACTAATATTCTTTTACATTTGTTTTGTATTGTTTATGTACTAGATTTAATAAAGTACTCGGTATGAAGGACAATTGTACAAGAAGGTTGAATACAAATAGTCAACTGTGTATTGCTCCCAACCCCCAAGGTACAGGTCTGACCTAGTTTGGAGACTATTCATAACACAAATGAAATAACAATATAGTAAATAGTTATTTTAAAGTTATAAGCAATAAATCCATGTATTAAGTATTAAAAAAATACGTTAAAAAAGTGCTGGCTGAACTCAGAAACGACTTAACTTAAACTTAACGGTTCACTCAAAATTTTATTTTTATTTTAAACCAATCGATTTACAAAAAAAAATTAAAATTCCGAATACCACAGGAAGTACTCGCGGGTTAGTCAAGTTTAACAAATAAAACACAATCATAAAAGTCGGAAAACTAAGTCAGAGATGACTAATACCTAGTTTTTACTTTTAACTTATCTTAAAATATCTATATTTTGCAAATCCTAAATTTAATTTAAATTAGACACATTGTAATAGGACAGAAGAAGAAAAAAACATTTTCGATAACTACAATTTTTCATTATAATAGTAATAGCGCCATCTGTCCTTCTTTGTATAAACTAGATCTGATATGGTAGCAAGAACTGACAGCCAAATCCAAGAAGAAAAAAAAAAGATAACTGACAAGTATTTTTTATAGATAAAACATTGTTATAATGTACTTAACACATGATTCCAAAAGATCATTCCAGTTAATTTATATTGATGTGTTTTTTTTACTAAAGTTAAAATTAATATAATATATTCTGCATTATTTAAATTAATGTAATCTTTAATCATTCATTACTCTTTTGTTAGTTCATTCGTTCAAAAAAGCATTCCATTCATTCGTTCTCCAATCTTTTAATACTCTAGTGTAGCCAACTAACAGGTCCCTCCCGAAATAATGCAGAGATAAAGTGTTTCTTTAAAAGAAAATTCTTACAAATTAGTAGATACACGTTTTATTCCTAAAAAACATTTGGTTAAATTAAAAAAACACTGGTTAGAAGCTCTCCATAGCAATTAATCAAGTGTTTATAAATATCATAATTCTTATATTAACTGTAACTTGTTAGTTAAGTACTACTATATCAAACGAATCACGAGATGTAACATCAAAAAATGTTAATCACAAATACACTTTATACAAAACGTAAATATATTATCTCAACTAAATAAATTATTATAATAAACACAGTTATATACTATATATATGGAAGATTATTTTTAGAAATATGTGAAGATATTTTTTTCACCACTAGTAATTCGTTAATCAAATTACTGAAGGCATCTTATAGATCAGTGTTTCCAAACTTTTGTGTACCATCCCTTACCTTAGCTTTTCTAAAATTATTATTCTTCCCTATGTAACATATATACATATTTTATAATACTAAAAAAATATTTGTTCAAATTTAATCAAACTTTATTTAAATTAAATAACAACTTTTAGGAAGAAATTATTAGGAAATTGTTAACGAAACACAGTAAGTACCACAGCAAAACATATAATTAAGAACTGAAATTCAATGTCCAAATAATTTAAAAAAGATATTTCAATATTGTGGTATTACTTTAAATTAGTTATAAAACAATTATGTAAGAATTTCCTTTTTTTATTATATAAATAATCAAATAGTGGAAAAACGTTACATGATTTTTTTTTAACAGTTTTCCCTTGTGGGATTTTGTTGTTAATGTTGGCAACACTAGTTGCTGTCAAATCTTTCGTTCGTTCGTTTCATTCTTTCTTTCAAATTTGTCAGTCGTTCAATCAGTTGTTAACTTGACTCAATTGAGTTCTGTCATTTTGTTCGCTTCGTCTGTCGTCTGTTTGCTTTGTCACAGACTGTCACTTTAATTTCTACTTTCGTGTCTTATCGTAGTGTGTACTGTTTTGTTGTGTTTATTTTTCTGTACATCAACGATTTAACATAATCTCATTTCTGAAATCGTGTCCCTAATTATTATTACAGTGATTGATAGATTATCTTTGTGACAACGACGCGAGTTATTTATTTGCAATCGATGCAAGATAAACCGCTGGTATTGAATGATCCAGGTTGATCTTGAAAAAGTGACAAATTTACGCCAACGAGTGATAGTTTATTAATTCTGTTCAAAGTGCAAAACGTAGTGTGGTGAGTTATCATAGTGCGCGACTTGGGCGTAGCTAGAAGAAACATAGATGGATTTTTAAAGAGGTGGGTACGCATTCATTCGCTGAGCACACATGAAACGCCGGGGAGAGATGGCAGATACCGTCTGTGCCCTGTCACAAAGTTCACCTATAAATTCCGCGTGCACTGTAACTATCTGTGTAATTAGCCGGCATGATTTCTTTGTTTACGGGGTAACGATGCAGTGATTACAGTTAGAAGTCGTGTATGGCCACTTGACGCGGGGTCATCGACGCTCGGCCCGCATTTCCCATCGCTCTATACAATTATAATCTATAAATTGTCTCGTATCTTAATGATATCTCTGCTATTTATTATCCTAATTATTGCATGCATAATTACATCTATTTATAATGCTATCTTATATGGATAATTGACTAAAATATTTATTGACTGTTGATAAACATCTCGCAAGAAGGATGTTGGGGTTATGTCTATAAAATAAAAGTTTAGTTTTAAGTAAATATGTCTGTTAAAATATGAGTCCACTAAAACATTCAATATTCAGATGAATAATTAAAATACATGCACTAATAAGACTGCTATAACTACTCTGTTTGTTTGTTTGTAATACTTTGTTGTACAGTAATAAAACTTAATGAGATAGGTTACCACAATCTTAAAATTTGTATAATAGTAAACCTATCCCTAATGAGAGATTCTTCCAGTTTCTTTTATAAAAAGAAATAATAATAATAATCTCAGGACAATTCACACAGCGCCATCTAGACCCAAGTTAAGCTAGCTAAAGCTTGTGTTATGGGCACTAGATAACTGTTATATATATATATATTATATACATAGATTTTTTTTTTAAATACTTACATACATATTATCCATAATAAATTATTCCAACAGTAAACCTATCCCAAATGAGACATTACTTCTAGTTTCTTTTACAACATATTGTTGTTACTATTTACAATAAATCAAACATTTATTTAAACATGCAACACACAAGTTTCTAGCTCATCCTTCTTGTTAAGAGTCTGCTTTCCTAATGAGTAGAGTAATAAAAAATATATTACAATTCAAAAGTTACATTAAGTTTATTTGAATAAAGGTTATTTATATTCTATAAGTATTTAATATTGATTATAATATGATCCCCAGATATCTATATCTATCTAATAAGAAACAAACAAGGGAATAAAACTATATATAGATATAAATAAAATTAGAGTGTCTGTTGTGAGTGTAATATTGAAGTAACCATTTTTTATGACAGTCCAATTTTATTTATATGTATAGATTATAGTAGAATAACAATTGCAATTATGTTATGCAGCAGTCTAAATACACTCTGGTTGGGGTATCCTGTTGTCCCACCCCACTGTAATTCACTGCCTTGTGATATCTCTCCATCTGCCATAAACAGATATTATTTCATGAAAAGTACTGTAGTCTTTAGTTTATTCAATTCAAATTCAAAATATCTTTATTCATGTAGGTCTATTACACTCTTATGATATGTCAAATCTACTGTCAGTTCGGAATGATTTTGTGATGAGAACTGACAAGAAACTCAGCTCATATTCTTTTCAAATAAATGTTGTACATGTTTACAATAATACAGATTCATTTAAATTCAAATTTGTGAGAATAGAGTGACCACCAGCATATGCTATTGCAAAAGCAAATAGTCTAATCAGTGTTCATAACCTGAACAGACCAGTCCCACAAGTATTATTTATATAATTGCTTAAAATAATTGTTTACACAAACTCTTTGAACTATATACCTATTATGATAATGTTAATGTGGAATGCTGGAGGAAAGGCGATTTTTTTTTGTGGATGATATTGAAAACGTGATCCCGCCAGCGCTAGCGGTTTACGCTGGCAGGGCATTAGTGGAGGATGATAAGATGAGCATGAGGTCAGGTCAGTTAGCCCATCGTGACAAATTCACCAAGAATTTATCACGATGGTTTCCTGGGGGAACTGCGTGGAGGTTGACCTAACATGGTACATTGCTAGCAGTTGGAGTTACTAGTTCCCATTTTTTTTAGTTTAGTAGTGTAAGATTTATATAATTGTATGCATAATGGTAAATGTAACTGGCTCCTAATAAAGATAGGTGACACTGCACGTTGTCAACTCACCCGGCCGGCCAGCGGTGGTTCTGGGCCCGACGGATAAGGTCTGCCTCGGTGCCACTGTTAGGCAAATTGTAACATCTCGGCTGGAGTTGTACAAAAGTGGAAATTAAATAAATATGATAATATTAAAGTAAATTAAAAAAAAAAACTAGTTCCCATTACTAACGAATTGTTAGTCCATAGTCAGGTCGACCTCCACGCGGTTCCCCCTGGAAACCATCGTGATAAATTCCTGGTGAATTTGTTACGATGGGCTAACTGACCTGACCTCATGTTCATCTTATCATCCTCCACTGGTGTCTGTCAGCGTAAACCGTTAGCACAGGCAGGAGCACCATTCCATTATCATCCTTGAAAAAAATGTGGAATGCTTTGCATAAACATAAGCAGAATATTGTTGTAAATAGAAATTTTACATATTTGTAAATACTACGGATATAGATACTTACCCGAATGACGAGCGTGCATGGCAATAGTTGTTCATGCACGGGATTTTCATTTAACGTTAGACATAGACACCTATACAAATATACATTGTAAATAAACTGACTTTAAAAAAAAAAGTAATTTAATTGATTTTTTTCCCGTTCTTCTCAATTGGATCTATATATTGAACTGGAAAGTAGGGAAAAAATTAAAACTATAATGTAAATAATTTGACATTCATAAGCGGCTAAAATGTCCTACATGAATATATGATTTTTTAATTTGAATTTGAATTTGATAGTATCCTGATAGATATGCATATATTTCCCTATTAATTAAATACACAATACTCTCTGTTGCTGGTTAATAATGTAATGTTGTTGGTTGAGACGATGTATATATACAGATGATAATAAACTGACAATATGTACATAAAAATATTGATCTTATATACTAAACTAGCTATTCCCGCGACTACGTCAGCGTGGAATTTAACTTTATTTTTCTAAAATAAAAGTAGCCTAAGTTACTCCTTATTACATCAGCTACCTGCCAAAAATTTCCGTCAAAATCGGTCCAGCCATTTCAGAGATTAGCCGGAACAGACCGACAGACAGCTAGACAAAAATTGTAAAAAATGTTATTTTGGTGTGTGTACCGTATTTATATTAATATGGATGTAGTAAAAAACGGCTATTTCAATGTTACAAACAGACACTCCAATTTTATTTATACGTATAGATGGCAATAGGAAAATGTATGGTGTGGTGACACAGTTTAGATACAGCAGTGCTTAGTACACAATATTGAATTTGTCTTACTAGACATTATTAAATACAATTATTATATTGATGTATCTAGGTAACTGTGTCCCATAATGAAACCGTCAAAATTTTTTTTTTATTTGTTTTAGGCTTGTAGAGGTTCAGGTATAAGGCCTCAAATTCTGGATTGATTGTGACCTCATTTCATTTCCTTACCTTACAATACTGGATACTAATTTGTAGATATAATAATATTACCATCTCAGGGAAATTCACGTAGTCCCAAGCTAAGCAGATCTTTTCTTATGGCTACTCTACAACTGACATAAATACATAGATTGTTTTTATAGTAAACTAGTTACTCGCCCCGGCTTCGCACGGGTGTACATGTATTATATATAAATCTTTCTCTTGAATCTCTCTATCTATTAAAAAAAAGCTTCAAAATCCGTTGCGTAGTTTTAAAGATTTAGGCATACATAGGGACAGACAGCGACAGCGACTTTGTTTTATACTACGTATGGTACTAATATTAAGTAGAAACGCGAAAGTTTTAAAGTATGGATGGATGTTTGTTACTCTTTCACGCAAAAACTACTGAATGGGTTTTAATGAAATTTTACTGTAATATAGCTTATACATCAAAATAACACATAGGCGCGAATAATATATTTAACGCAAGTGAAGCCACGGTACAACTAGTATATAGAAAAACCCAGACTGATACCAAAAATGATACTCATAAATATGTACACACGTTTTCCCATGCGAGGAATTGAACCCTGCCCTTGAGAAGTAAAGCAGTACGCTAAACTGTTAGACCACAAAGGTTTAATGTTACCAATGTTATATTACCAGAAGAGAAGGCTTGTTTATATTTATGCTTTTTAAGCAATTTTTTTTATTACAAATGCTTGACAATTTTTTTTTGCTTTTCATATCAGTTGCTTTACATTGGGGGGCGCCACTCAAGATGATGGTGGAAACCATCCTCGAGTCCTCACAGGACTTTGGTGAGTTGAATGTATAATAATAATAATAATTTAATACAGACAGACAGACAAAAATGGTATTTAACTCTAGTTACTAACTCGAGTTGCGGTGAATTCGAGTTAACTCGAGTTGAATTCTGCCAACTCGAGTTGGAAATATTCAAGTGGTAAATAATAATAATAATCTCAGAACAGTTAAAACAGCGCCATCTAGACCCGAGTTAAGCTAGCTAAAGCTTGAGTTATGGGTACCAGATAACTAATACATATACATAGATATTTTTTTTGTAAATACATACATATTATACATAGAATATACAATATAATACATGTATCTATTGACTTTTGACATACATATACTGTAGGTAATGTGTACTTTATAATACAGGGAGAAATATTCTGACCATTGATATCAGAACCAATTAAGTTTATGTAGTTCATATATTTTTTTATTGCCATGATGAATTCATACTGAAATCTATCAGCATCCTTATTGATTATTTTAACCGAGAGAGAAGTATAAATACATCAAACGTCAAACTTTTGTACGTGTAGGACAAATGTATACCTACATTTTTTAAATTTCAGCTGCGCCATGAACCTGGAGTGGGTGGGATATTTCATATCAAATATATATATATTAAATTATATTGTGGTGACGTACAGACACGTCCTAGTGAGAGACAGTGCCCGTTATATGATGCGTAATTAAAAAATGAATTCCTCTGTTAACAGGTTAACAACAAAACTTAATCTTATAGCTAACTGTGAGTACCGTCAAAATCGGTCAAGCCATTTTAGAGATAACAATTTGGGAATGAATACCTTAATTATAAGTTATATATCTAATACTAGCTACTCGCCCCGGCTTCGCACGGGTGTACATGTATTATATATATAAACCTTCCTCTTGAAGGTTATCTCTAAAAAAGCGCTTCAAAATCCGTTGCGTAGTTTTAAAGATTTAAGCATATGTAGGGACGGACAGACAACGACAGCAACTTTGTTTTATACTATGTAATGATAATAATGATGTAAGAAAGCTATAGCTACTTCTGAAAGGTTGTGAGATTTCAGTATGATGTTCCTCCATATACCCACAGAATACTCCAATTCTTTCAGTTCGTAATAGGAAGTCCCAATAGAGTAGCAGACACTTGACGGAACTGCATTTCTGATGCAGGCATGTCAAACGGTTCGTTGCCGCAATGGAAACGCGAGCTGCTGCAGAGGCGCGCGGCACGCTCGCGGCCCACCACCTTCACCGCGCCCGCGCACCCGCCGCCCGCCGCCCGCGCCGACCTCGCCGCTGACCTCGCCGACGAGGACGAGGAGCTGCGCTACGGGCCCGGCATCGTCAAGCGGCTCAAGTCGCGCTACCTCAGCCTCGCGCTGCGGGACGCCCCGCGCCGCAGGCCCTCGGTGCTGCGCCGCGCCACCTCGCTAGAGCACCTGCTCGACGAGCGCCCGCCCCCCGCGCCGCGCCCGCCCGGACCGAGACCTCCACGACCTGCCTCCGTGGCCGCGCCGCCGGCGGTGCTCGGACCCACCACCCGCCGCGATTTCGTTAAACGCGCTCGCTCTGTCGATGCCCTGAGCCGACTCGACGCCAGGGAAGAACTGCATCCGCCGTCGCCTTCTCCACCGCCGCTCACAGTGATTCCCGTAGCTCCGCCGCCGACGCCCCCACCGCTCGCGTCTCCGCCGGTGTCGTCGCCGGGCGTGGCGCCGCCGCCGCTGTCCCCTCGGCCTCCGATCGTCCGCTCGGCGCGACCACCGCGGCGCCCGACGCCGCTGCTTCGGGAAACAGAAAGACCGCCACCCGACGTAGTTCGCTCGACGCTCAGAAAATTCGAGAGCGCTCCCACGCGAAGAACGGCCCCCGCCGCTAGGGTGTCGGCCGTGCTGCGCGGACTCGAATCCGCCCCGCGCACTTCGACTCCCGAGCCGCGAGACCCGAGTGCGGATTGTCGGTCGCCGAGTCCGGCCATCGCGGATGTGTCCGCTATAGACGAAACGGAATGTGCGGTAGTGTCAGCGGAGGCGAAGCCCGTGTCCCGCGCCGCCCTCGAGGGCATCGCTCGTGCGGGGTCCTCGATGCGATTCTGCTTCGAGGTGCCACCCAGAGGATCGCATCTACCGCCGTTGGCGGCGGCCAACCCGGTGCTCATAGGACGCGCGAGGCGCGTGGGGGTGATCCGCCCGATGCCCGCGCCGACGCTCACTCGCCCCACGTCCACGCCCACTCCGCCGCCGCTGGTCGCCGACGTAGATGAGAAGGTAGCAGAAGTGACTCCGCGATTGGCGACTCCTCCGCCCGTGGACAACGAGCCTGCGCTGACCGCGCGCCCCGAGCGACGCGAACCTCCGCCGTCGGCCGTCGTCGAGCCTATCGTCCGCTCGTTGCCAGAAGAGCGGCATCCGACTCCGACGCCGACGTCCACCGACTCTAGCCGCGTAGAGTCGCCGCGGCCGCCTTCAACCCGGGAAGCGACTCCGGAGCCCACCGAAACCAGACCGATAGTGATCGAAATAGACAACAAGCCCATAACGAACGGCCACACGGACGTTTACAAGTCGAAAATCGAAACACGACTCGGAGGTGCCGGGATAGAGCGCGCGTGGAACGGCACGCCCGATAAGATTGCTAGTGTGGAACTGAAGGAGAAGAAGGTGAATAGTGAGACGAAGAGTGCCGTCCCGTGGGCGCGCGTGTCCGGCGAGGGTGGCGGCGGCAGTCCGGTGGGGGCGCGGCGGGCGCGGGCCCCGCCCCCGGCCGCGACCTCCATCGTGTTCAACTTCTCCAACCGCAAGGAGGTGCCCGACTACATCGAGAACGACGGCCTCATACACCGCACCAGCAAGAAGAACAGGATAAAGGTGAGTTTTTTCTTATGACATTTAAACTTGAAGATATAGTTGTGTGTGCGATCTCTAACTGTCCCAAAAGGGAAAATTGTTCAACATCTCTTAAGTAGGTATATCTAGTGATAATAAAAAATTAAAACATATGTCGGCCCAGAGAGGACACATAATTACATTTATTTTAATTTCTTTTTCCGTCAATATGTTTTAATAAGAAAAACAGGCAAGTAATTCTAAAACCAAATATATTTTTTAATGTAACGAAAAATATAGTTAAATTATAGTGTACATAGAGGCAAATTACAATGAAAATCATGCGGAAACGTCCTGATAAGCTCTCGTACGGGTGTTATCGTACTCCGTCGTATGCAGGCGCGTACTGCTCTTGCCGACATGACACCGTAACGTGCAATTTTACAGTTAATTCACAATTGTTTTAACAACAATTTGGATCTCGTTCTATTTTATACTCTTATCCAACTAATATAAACACGAAAGTGAACTTGTTTGGTTTATCTACTTGACGATTTATCCAAACTTAATCAAATTTGTCTTAAAAATAGCATTTGCAATGAAGAATGTAAACAGTTATCCCGATCAATCATAATAACTCAGACAAAGTCAATATATTTAAACTCATCACGACAAAACTATGGTATATCATGACTCCATACTGTAATATTACACTGCTGTATCTTAACCTTCAAACCGAAACAACTTACGAAGAGAGAAGCGAACTTCTTAGCATCATGGATTCACCGTGCCAGTACCAGATCCATCGTATAGCAAAGAGGGAATCTCTGAATCTTTTTTTTTTTTTTTTTTTTTTTTTTTTGTTTTTGTAGTTTGGTTATTTGATGTAATTGTATATTTTAATTTCATATTGTACGTCCGAAATGGATAAACTGGTCGTTTCCATATATGATGTAACACAGTTATAGACAATAAATGTTTATCTTATCTTATCTTATCTTATCTGAGGAGTTCCCAGACCTTGTGAACCCGGGTGTAGGTTTAAGGGCGCCCTTTGTCGATGTACGTCATCATTCGCCTTCACGGTTTCTCTCACTGCTCAGCTCAAATCTGGTGCGTAGCCTACTAGTAGGAGCCTGCTAGTGCAGCTTTAGATACACGCCCTAGTATATAACCCACTACAGTTCTAAACAGGCCAAAATCTTTCAGAAGATTCTAGAGATTTCGCTTGTATACCTCGGGAAGGGATCCCACTTCGACTGTATATAAAGTAATCACATAGCCAGTTTTCGGCAATTTGTTTTTTTATCCGTAATATTTATTTGTTTACTAGCTCACCCCGCGAACTCCATTTCGCTTCAAAATTAAATATGTCAAAAGAGTTTTTGAAGTTTAGCTACGCAATAAATTTCTAAACGCACCCTGTTTGACAGGTATCTGCAGTTTGTATCGGAAAATATAATGGTTGTTTTTACTATTTTACATGCAATTTCTTCATGTTTTATCACCGTTTAAACCTTCATTGGACTTCCATGAATATTTCAAGAGTAAAATTAGCCAAATCGGTTCAGCCGTTGTCGAGTTTTAGCGAGACTAACGAACAGCGATTCATTTTTATATATATAGAAGAAGAAGATAGATAGATATTGATTTATTGCCAACATAACACAAATAATACAATTTACAATAAGACACAAAACAAGAAATAAATAATAACATGGAAGTTGGCAATAGGAGCTGCCTCAGCTGTTGCTGATATACGCACAACCTTAGTGAGGTGCACCTATACAGCGCAGGTTTTCAGGCAGCCCCCATTACTCATAAAAAAAAAAACTATGATGCGGGTTTTTTACTACATACAGATACATATAATTTAAACACAAAAAAAAATATATTAAATAAGATCTAGGATACACAAATATAAATATATATAGAATAATTAAAAGATATTGCATTATGTTTGGGGGTATATTTGTTTCCTATTGTGATTTATTAGCGCAAAAAATATTTATTTATTTATTTATTTATTTATTCTTTTGCACACAAAAATGTATACATGGCGGACTTAATGCCTTATGGCATTCTCTACCAGTCAACAGTCGCGTTGATCAGAGATAATAAGGCGGTGCACTTTAATAATTAATTGAAAGAAAAAAAGAAAAACAAAAATTATAACAAATAGATACAGAAAAATAGTACATATATATACAGATGCAAATATATAAAAATACTAATATACCGATATAAAATATATAAGTTTATGGATTACATATATAAATATGTAGATGGTAAAACTATGTACCATCGCAGAAGACTTTATACCAAATCTATCTCGGAATAAATAATTTCACATTTGACCGCATTAATTCTCGGTAATACCTCAGAGACGATATTGTACGCTCGAGTGCAGCCATTACACGGATCATTCCGCTCTCCGCTCCCACTTTCCACTGCCATCCCAAACAGATAATCCAAATATTCGAATAACCATCAATTGCGTAATCTATAATCTATGCAAATACTTAATTTTCTACAAACGGTGAAAGTGAAGACACATTGTGGTGACGCTGTGGACCTGGCGCGGGTGAAACCGACGCGATCCGAGCAACGATGTCCGGAATCGAATACCACTCTCGATTTCGGCGTATCGAGTCGAAAGTGCCCTGCGATGAATGCTGATGACCCACTCGCGGCGCTCCACATCTACAACGTAACGTGCCCCCAATGTTACAATGTACGTCACAACCGGTCAACACACTAACCTACAACATGTGGGGGCCAGGATTATTGAGGCATCGTTTGCCACCTGTCGTGTACCATCTGTCGCCTTACAAGCACGTCAACCCACTTAAAACACTAATATAAATGCGGAAGTGAGTTTGTTTGTAAAGCCTGAACAAGGCTTAAACAATCCACATGAAACTTAATACGTACTTATAGTTTTGGATGAGGAAATGTACAACATTTGAAAAGAATACGAGCTGAGTTTCTTGTCAGTTCTTCCCATCTCGAAATCATTCCGAACTGACGGTAGTTTTGACATATCATAAGTCTGTAATAGACCTACATGAATAAAGATATTTTGAATTTGAATTTGAAACCTTTTGGGTTGCTTTTGTAATCGTCAAACATGATCATACAGATGAAGTCATATAGAGAAAGACTTCCATTAGAAAGTCATAAATGTTCAAGTGTACAGCAAATTTAAATCACGATAATTGGCTACGAATAAAACAAATAACAAAGCAACAGAATCCACTCTTAGAATTTGTGTCGATCTATTCAGTATATCATCAGGAGAACATTGTAATTGTAAAATTAAATATTAATAAACTCTAGGTGAAGCTTAATGTTCTGACACTCGTCGTATTTGTCACACATCGTTATTCCTTTGAATTGAAATGTAACAGGAACATGGCATAGCAAGCTCCTGAACATGTATTTGAGACGGAGGTTTCCACTCAAACCACTTTTTACAAAATGGACTATAATTTTTTTTTTCAAATTCATCTTTTTTACCTGTTAAGTACAGGTAACAAAGGTCATAGAATAACATATTTCACATTCTTCTAAAATTACATTTTCACATTTAACAACAACAACATATATTATTGAAAGATTACATACATAATTAAATTATATGTTAAACTATGTATACTATAATAAATATTTTTTAAAGCCAATTTGAAATGTCTAATATCATCAGAGAGATTGTCTCTTTAGTATTTTATTGTAAACTACCTACTCGCCTCGGCTTCACACGGTTGTACATGTATTATATATATAAATCTTCCTCTTGAATCACTGTATCTATTAAAAAAACCGCATCAAAATTCGTTGCGTAGTTTTAAAGATTTAAGCATACTTAGAGAACAGCGACTTTGTTTTATTTTATGTAATGGTTGTAGTATTTGTAACGTTTAACTAGATTATATCTAGAAGTATATATTAAGGATCTCTAACTGGAACGTTTTTGACGAACGAAGTTTATCCCTAGAGTATGTTTAGTTTTCTTAAGCAACGCGCACCTGACTCCCTACGTGTTTCAGGCGTCTATTTAGGCTAACCTTTACCATCAGACGAGTCGTATGCTAGCTGGCTACCACTGACGTATAAATATTTACCAACGCTATCGCCAAACAGGCGATGCAGTTACTAAAAGGTCAAGAGCTCGTTCTGGCGGGCAAGTTCGTGCGCGTTGGTAGGTAGCAGCGGTGCGCCGGCGCACCCACAGCGGCATGACGAATAATTCAACCGAAACGAGCGAGTTATCACACGATGCACGTGGAGTACCTCGCAAACGAACTTAGGAACGCATGTTGCTGACCACGAGGGGCTCTGACGCAAAAGGTGCTAATAATAATAATAATAATAATAATAAAAGCTGAGAAAAAATAAAGAATAACAATAATAATAATAATAAACTAAACACATGCCGAATAGTCAGAAAATTTCTATCTTCATCACATAACTCATCCATGCTTGGCTAAGGCCCGCGTGTTTGAATATATTACCCCCGTAAAAAGCGATCTCCCTTTTTACGGGGGTAATATATATAATAAATATATATAATAAATATATATATATATATATATATATATATATATATATATAATAAATATATATATATATATGTAATAATAATAATATTGCACTTACTTGGTTTCGTCCCGTAAGTGTGGAGAAAACCAGCAAAAGCTGAGAAAAAAAAAAGAATGATAATAATAATAATCTTTATTAAATTCAGAAGGATCGTTACAATATTATTTATACAATAGGTACACATTCCAGACAATATCAATCCTTTCAGTATTTATGTGTAGTCCTGGCTTCTGAACTAGCATTAGCCGTATGACAGAAGCCAGTTCCTTCCCAATACATGTACTTTAATTATAGAAGGATGAAAATTATTATAACATGATATATATAAACAATATTTTATCAATAGATACATATTTAAAAATCTAAATTATAAGAAAAACAAAGATGCTGAAATAAACATAACATTTTGCACTATATTGTGTGTGTCTTATGTACAAGTA